ATGGTCACAAGCGCAAGGACCGGTTGAAAGTTTGTTGGGTTTTTTTTTCCCCTCCCCAGTATTGTCCTAACTTAAAACAGGGGTTCCCAAAACTTGGCAACTTTTAAGACTTGTGGACTTCCAAGCCCCAGAATTCTCTAAAGCAGTGATCCCCAACCTTTTTGACGCCGCGGCCCGGTACCGGCATCAGCTGGGCGCCGCGGCCCAGTACCGGCATCATCTGGGCGCCACCATCTTTTTTTGATGAAATCGTGCTTCCGGTGAGCTTTCTACCCGGAAAAGCTCACCGGAAGCGCTGGCGCCGCCATCTTTTTTTGATGAAAAAGTGCTTCCGGTGAGCTTTCTACCCGGAAAAGCTCACCGGAAGCACTTTTTCATCAAAAAAAGATGGCGCCCAGCAAGCCAGCGGCCCGGTAGGACTTGTTCCGCAGCCCGGTACCGGTCCGCGGCCCGGTGGTTGGGGACCCCTGCCTTAGCCTTTGTACAAGCAAAGTTAATGAGGAAGGTAGCAGGAAGTCAGAAATCATAATCACATGAAATTGTTTAATGACTCTTGATTTTCTTAACTATGGCGACTGGAGACTGCCAGAATGGTCGTCACTAAGCAAATGTGGTCACACTTTATGACTGCATTGCTCAGTGATAGAAATTCCAGTCCCAATTACTACCATTAAGGACTTACATGTCAACTTTGCTTGGCTTCTGATCTTCAGACAAGATTGACTAAATGCTATCCCTTGCTGAAACAACCAAAGATAGCAACAATTCCCATGAATAATCACTTTTTCCTCAGCTCTCATGATCATAAGAATTGCAGCTGGCAAAAATAAAAAGTAATAATGCTCTCCATTTATCTATTTAGATTTTTTTATATAAAACATTTTTACATTAAAGCACAGATTTATACACACAAGTGTTTTAAAAACAATGTTTCCCAAATTTGGGCAACTTTTAGAGGTCTGCACTTCAGCCCACTGAATTATCCAACTACCATGGCTATGTTTAAAAGTTCTGTGAAAACTAATTAATGTAAGATTTGACTGGACCATTTTCTGTATTTAGAATGAAAAACAGACAGGCAAATTTTATCCCTAGGAACATATGGCTTAGACTGAATGATGTTATTCATGTGTAGAGTAATATATGAACTAAGGAATTCTTATTTAAGATGGAGGAAGATTACTGTGAGGACATATTACTCATTGAGAAACTAATTCTTCCTGCTGACTCTTCTCTTAGTATGCAATTATTACTGGATTAATGGAAGTAGCTAATGAGCACGCAATTACTCACCAACTAGGAACTGCCAAAAATAAACTTATGGCACTATCCAAATCTTATTCAGTGGGGCTTCCCACCCCCCAGATCTAGTTCCTTATAATGGTTATAAAGTCCAGCAATGCACATTGTACAATACATGTAAAGCAATGCACTGCCAGAGTTATTTAAAAAAAAAAAAAAAACAGGAAAAAAGTAGCTAGCACACAAAAATAAAAACGACTGTAAAAAAAAATTCTGCTGGGTTTCAAACTAGCAATAGTAGCAGCAGAATTGTCTTGCAAGGTGTCTTTATGCAGCATTTGTAAGATTCAAATCTGCACTTGATTCCATATTATGAAAAGTATTGTGGAAGAATCTGCAATCTACCAACATAGAAAAACAATTACTTTTATTAATACATAAACTCTACACTAATAGCAACCTGAAGGTAAGAGGTGATCCCCAAGGACTGTTAACTTAGTCAATCATTACAGTACAGGAAGTAAAGCAAGGATGTATTCTTGCTCTATTACTGCTAACATTTACATAAATTGATACCTCCATAAAAGTAACTTTCACCATCCAAAACTAACCAGTAGATACCTTTCAGTTTTCCTCTATGCTGACAATATGGTTATTATGTCGCTGCCTTTAGTAGGAATGTTAAAAGCTCTTAGATTTCTTGCTCAATGTTGAGGGGGAGGGGAAGATAAATTACCCCCGCCCCAATCTTTAACACCTAACATAATTGACCTGTTAATTAACCCTAACCCTTGAGTGAGTTACTGGGCCAAACCTCAAACTCCAGATCTCTGGTAGGGGATACAGGTTTGAGGAAGATACATACTACACTTAAGAGTGAGAAGGGAACTTTTACATTTATATAGTTACATAATTATTGCCATTCTTTTTGCCTCAAATAGTTAACTAGAGCATTCCTCCGAGCCACTTGTAATATGTGGGCCAGATATGGGACTCTGTGTCCTGATGAATGAAAGATAACTCCCAAGTAGTAAAAACCAGTGATTCCAAGGTGGGTGGTACTGCCCCCTGGGGGGCAGTGGGATGACGGGGGCACTAAGAGGCAGGGGGCGCTAAGGAAAGGGGGGACGGCAGAGGAGTGCTGGAGGTGGGCCCCTTGCAGGACGCAATTCAGGGGTGGGATTCTACCTGTTCATTACCGTTCCCAGTAGTTCGGGAAACTGGTAAAATGGGCCCCTGGCTGGCCTTGGCCCTGCTCCTCTCCACCTACTCCTCCATTCCCTGCCCAGTCAGTCCTTATTGCGCATCTGTGACATTGCATGCATGCGCGACAACTGCTGACGGCCACAGTGGTACGTTGGAGGAGCGGAGCAAGCAAAGCCAGAGGGCCGTAATTTTCGCTCCAAAAAGCATCCAGATGCCACGTCTTTTTTTCCAGCCGCACCAAAAAAAACGTGGCATCTGGAGGCTTTTTGCAGCAAAAATTACCGACCTCCGGCTTTGCTTCTCTAACGCGCTACCACCACCGCGTTCTAGGCGCCGGCCATGCAGGCTTACCCCATTGACTGCAGCACTCCACTCAGACTTGCTTGGGCAAGTCCCTCCAGTGTAGCAGGCTCAATGGGGTGGACCTGCAGGGCCGGTGTCTAGAATGTGGCCGCAGTGGCGCGTTGGAGAAGTGGAGCAAGCAAAGCTCCACTTTGGTAATTTTCACTGCAAAAAGCCTCCAGCCACTGCATCTTTTTTTTTTTTTTTTGGTGCAGCTGCAATCCAGCTTCACCGAAAAAAACACGGCGTCTGCAGGCATTCGTGACAAAGGCGATGTGGGCTGGCAGGGAGCCCAGCGACAACAATGGCTCAGCCCTGGCTTGCCTTCCCTGGCAGCCAGACACGGGAAGATGGTAAAGTGGGACGACAAAAGAGGCGGTCGTGGGGGAGGAATCAGGGGAATTAAGGGCCGGGGCCTCTGAAAGGGGAAACGGGGATGCAGGATTAGCCCAGGCCTTTGACAGATTAGGCCACGCCTGCCTGGGCAGAAAATAGGTAGATAGGGAAGGGATAGAGAAAG